CGCCCCTCGGCGGGCTGAGGGGGCGCGCGCGGTGCCGGTCCGCGGATGGAGCGAGGGCGGGAGAGACGGGGGATGCCGGGAGCCGGCGGGTGCGGGGCGCGGAGGGGGATGTGTCCCGCAATCACGTCACACGGCACGGCTCCGCCCGGTACACACCGGCGAACTTTAATGAAAGTCTCGTACAAAGCGCGGGGCCGGCGTCGCCCCTCATAGCCTCGAGGTCGCCCCTCACAGTCCCCTCGCAGCCCCGGTCTCGCCCTCAGAGCCCAGTTCTCGCCCCTCAGAGCCCCGGTCTCGCCCCAGTGTCGCCCCGGTCTCGGCCCTCAGAGGTCTGTACGGGCGCCGGCCGCCCTCGGCGCGTACTTGGGCATCAGTTCGTGGATCCTGCGGATGAAGTCGGACTTCTCTGCACAGCCCTTGCACACCTCGCCCCAGTCATCCAGGATCCGCCGCAGCTCCTTGACTCGCAGCTTGCGCAGGTCGGCGGTGCTTAGGTCGATTTGCTTGTCTGCGGGGAGAGCAGAGCTGCACTCAGACACGCCAGGTGGGCAAGGAAGCCAAAACACAAGAGGGAGAGAGGTGCCGGGGGTGGAAGGAATGTCTAAGTTAGGATTTGGACAGCGGATAAGGCTCTTAATGCTAAAAATTTTTAGAAGACAGAAAGCTTGGTTGTGGTTTATATGCAGGAGTTCCACAATAGCCCTGAAGGCCCCTTTGTTTTATGAGCAGCACCAACACTCTTCCACTGGATAAAAGAAATGTAGCAGAGTCGTTTCAAGGGAAAGATAAGAAAGTGACAACAAGAAGCATCTCCTTAGTAGGAGAAATGATAAGTATAAAGACCCACAGTCGAAGGGGTATCTCCAGGAGGTGTAAGGACAGTCATATGGGAAAGCAAGCAGAAAGAGGCCTGTGCCTGTTTTTGTATTAGTCTTTTTTCAGGAAGAGGATTCACCTAGGAATGTGAGTTCAAGAAAGTGATGAGAAGCAGAGTGGAATGCTCTGAGGAGACACCAGAGGAGATGAGAAAGCAGTATTTATCACCCTGCTGCTGGGAACAGGGCCTGAGTCCCACCACAGTGACACCCCCACACGCTGCCAGCACAGGCTGTACCACACACTCTCCCAAACACGACATTCCAAACAGCAATGTGAGCACAGCAGTGCTGCTACTCCTGGGAGTTAGTTATTCCAGGGCTGATCAGTGTCCCTGCAGAAACCAAGAAGGGTTAGCAGCCAACAGACTTACCTAAGCATATCCATAGAACTCCCTAGGATGTTCATGGAGAGCAACCCAGGTTGTGCAATGTAACTAGGCTACAGAAGTGAGGACTGAGTAGTTCTAGGATGCTGCTTTACCCCCAACAAATCATGGGCATTTCCTCTTGTGCAGGCAACTCACCGTATTTTAGTTCACAGATCTGACTGTCTTTCTTCTTTAGCTTCTCACAGATCTTTTCCACAGGGATGTGGTGACTCATGGGCTTTGATACTTCATTAATGATTTTGGTGGCTGCATCACTTGTGGCCCCAATGTAATAGCACTAGAGGGAAGAAAAGAGTGAAGTGGGGATGCACTGAAAAAAAGACTTCTAAAAGCAGAGTTTTCTGACCCTGTTCTCATCTGGTTTTACAGCTAGATTCTTACTGTTACAGAATCTCCCCAAGGGACTGCTAGAGCTGGGGCAAAAGGAGCCTAGCTGAGCCCAGAACACTGAGCAAGTGTTTTCCATTGCACTGATTTTACAGCTACTGAGGCTGGTGGTCTTGTTTTTTTAACTTTATTAAAATAAAACAGGATTAGGAACAAAGTCTTCTTCATTCAAAGAGCCTCTCTGAAAATGTGTTCCCCCTCTGCATGTCTCTGTAGTTCTCTGAGGAGAGTTCAGGTTCTTTGGGCCTCTTGATTCACAAATTGCCTCTGATTTTAGTTAAGGCAATTTGGTTTCCTTTATTTAGTTTTCAGATAAACAGACAAAAAGTGTAAGTATTTTAACAGATTATACTATTTAAGGGACAGGGAAGCCCTACAGCAAACAAAAGCTTTATCTCCAGTGGTTCAATAACAGTGAGATGCCAGCCAGTCCAATCACTGTTGACAGGGTGGTGGTTTTTTTATCTTTTTTTAAAAGTAAAGAGATTTAACTCCTTGAGTTCTCTCATAAAAATACACAACTGTGGCCACAGAGCCAGCAGAAACAGCCCCTGGGAAGCCATATCATACAGACTCAGTTTCCCCTCATTTGCAGGAGGCAAATATTACTGACTCCCCATACTTACCAGGCGGTTCTCTTTGCCCTTTGCTTCTTTGCAGGATTTCAAGAGCTCCTTTTCAATACTGGAAGGTGTGAATTCAATGTCGTTGTCTTTTAGACTCTGGTAGAACCTTCCCAGGAATGTGACACACACTGGAAGGGAAGATGGATGGAGTTATCAGCCAGAGCAGTAATCTC